CCAGAGCTGAAAGCCAGCCTGCAGGCCAGTTGAGTATCTTAGTCTTCCTCAAAAGCACCATAGGAGGAGGGGCCTGGGTCCAAAGGTTTGAGACAGCCTTTGGCGACTGTGAGGGCTGCCTGAGCAGGGCCTTGGGTCTGCTGACAGTGAACAGCTATTACTGGATTGAAATTTCTCCTCAGCTGACTGAAAACCATGGTTGTTGCAGCTGAGATGACCCTGGGCTACAGAGAGGTGAATTTAGTTACTTTGGACACGACAGATAGTTTTTGTTGAATTTAAAAAGGAAAACAATAGGAAGGCCCTCTTATGGGAGCCTCTAGAACTGGATGGTGCAGCCTTTTGGGTACCTGCATCTGACTTTGTCAGGACACCAGTGCTCCTGTTTTGTAATTACTTCCATAATTGCCCATCTGTCTCAGCAGGCAGAGAGCTATGAGTAAGCGGGAATATTGCCTTCTTTTATCTGAAATTCCAAGATGGTGGCTGGCCAGCTTGTACTCAGTGGATGTTTGTTGAATAACTGGGAGGTAATACAAACTTGCCGTGTACAGAAGGTGGACATCGTGAGGCACATTCAGAGTTCATTTGGCCCAGGGGAGCTGTTTGGCATGAAGCTAACCCATATGATATATACATATAGCACTTGTGTGTCCCAGATGTTTGGGCATAGACTCAGATTCAAATATTCTCTCCAATTTCCCCCATAAGTACACTTATCTCTGTCAGGCTACAAGCTTGAATATTTTGGTTTAGAGACTATAGATAGGACATCCAAGGTGCCAATTTATTGTCTCACAATGATTGGACTACTGAGGTCTATTTTCTCCCAGTTATCAAGAGGCTTGAGAGCCCGAGTAAGCAATGACATGCTGTGAGGTGAGCACGGGTGCAGCAGAGCTGGAAGTCTCCCTAGTTACTATCTTGTTCTGACCTATTTCTGATATGCGGGCATATCAGTCAAGGTTCTTGAGAGAAGCAACCAGTAAGATATATTTCAAAGAATTTTGCTCACACAATTGTGGGGTCTGACATGCCTGAAGCTGGCAGGGCAGGCTGGAAACTCTTAGCAGGAGGCTAAATTTCAGTCTAGAGGGAGAAATTCTTCTTACTCAGAGAAACCTCAGTTTTTCTCCTGAGGCCTTCCAGTGATTGAATGAGGCTCCCTATGTTATCAGGGGCGATCTTCTTTATGTAAAGCCCACTGATTGTGGATGTTAACCACAGACACAAAATACCATCACAGCAACACCTGCATTAGTTACATAAGTGTTCCATTAAACAGCCTTGCAAAGTTGTCAAAAACTAACCACCAAAAATGTAATTATAATAACTTAAAAATCAAAATCAACAGGCAACTACTATATACCAGATACAGTCTGCAGGGGAAAGGGGGAGGAAGAGGGATCAAAACAGGGGTGGGAAGAGCAGAAGAGACTATGGTGATGGGAATTTCATGGGGACTGCACCTGAGAGGAGAAAGCATACATTGTACAAAAATAAAAATAAAAACAAAGACAAAAAACTAACCACATTGAACTACCCACAACTTGTCCCAAAAGGATATCAAAAAGGATCAATAGAGTAAATGTAGGAGCAGGATTATCTATAAATTGCTGTTCTCCCCCAAAGAAGGGTAACTACAAACCTGTTGACTTGCTTGGTGAGCCCAATGGGTTAATGGAGCAAATGCTGGGAAGTATCTCCATAAAGTGGTTGCTGTGCTATTTCCCAAGAGAGAGAAATATTGTTTTAAAACTTCCCTTATTTTCTTCACTCTCCTCTTCCCTTTTCATGGGAAGGGGAACTTGATTTGACTGTTATTGGGAGGAGCAATCTGGTATGGGCCATGAGCATCTCTGCACATCCCCTCTGCGTAGGCTATCAATGCAAGAGTTGCAGTGAGCAACCTTGATAGAGGGAGAAACATCTCTCCCTGAACAAAGAGTAGGCTTGTCTCCACTTGCTATCAAAATGGTGACTCACCCAAACTTCTGTAACTCAATCCTCACCATGTTCAGGGTCCATCCAGGACCACCTGCATAGTCCCCCTGGGACCTGGGAGAGGACGTGGGAAACTAGTGCGAACTATTGCACTTGCTGTGAGTGATAAGGTCCTTTGTCTCTGGGGCTGGACCCTCATATGTTCTTCCCCGTCCATGAAACAGGTACAGGCTAACTTGTTAAGTTGCAAATAGGGTAAAACCACAAGTCCTTCACAATTTTTTATAGTAAGAGGCCTTGATACCTTGCAGGTAATAAGGATTTGTTTCACACTTCTCAGCCTTTCTCCTCCATGTGAACAAGCTGGCTGAGTGAGGGTCTGTCCTGGAGACCAAACTGGCTCTACTCCAGTATCTCTTTGCAGCAGGAAACAGTAAGAAACTGTTTTGACTTTCCAGCTCTACCAAGTATGCTATTACCAAGTGGTTTAGAATCTGGAAGAGGTAAGAAGGAAACACCTAGTTTTTCTAGAAACTCCAGTGTGCACTCTGTGCCAGGCTCCAAGCTGGGGGCTGGTAAGGCCAGAGTGAAAAAGAAAGGTCCTCAAACTACTAAGAATGGAGCTACCATATGACCCAGAAATTCCACTTCTAGGAACCTACCCAAAGATCACAGAAACATTAATTCAAAAGGAAACCTGCACTCCTATGTTTATTGCGGCACTATTTACAATAGCTAATATAGGGAAACAGCATACATGCCCCAAACCAGATGACTGGATCAAGAAGATGTGGTCTATGTACACAATGGAATGCTGTTCACAATCAAAAAAGATAAACTCATGCCATTCACAGCAACATGGATGAAGCAGGAAGGGATAATGAGGGTGAAATAATGAAGTGATGAAATAATGCTCGGTGAAATAAGTCAGAAGGAAAGAGAAAACTATTGGATGGTTTCACTTATAGGAGGAACATAGGGAAAACAAGGGATTGGTAAAATAAAGACAAAAATAGCAGGTAAACTATAAATTGGAGACATTCAGCTGGAAAGGGGAAGGCAGAGGCATCAATACAGGGGAGGAAAGAGCACAAGAGACTGTGGTGATGGTTCACGGGTGACTTGGTGGTGAGAATTTTATGGGGACTACCCCTGAGAGGAGAATGAACGATGATGTAAAAATACATAAATAAAAAAAAGAAAGAAAAAAGAAAGGTCTTTGCTCTCTTGGAGCTTCAGGTTTAATGGAGTTGAGTGTTGGGAGTTATGCTAGAAACTTACTGACTGCCTCTCTTCTTCGAACATTTTCTTTCTTTCTAATTTACTATCTAAAGTCAAATTTTATCACCTTAATTGGATTAAGGTGATTCTTGAGTTGGTAACAGCACTTTTACAAACTATCTCTTGGGAAGGGTTATTTCTTCAATGGTTAACCTCATCATTATATATTGATTTTTACCAAATTCATTCACAGAGGATGACAACTCATGATTTTGGAGTCACTGATGTTCTGACTGTATCTGATATAGTGACCCAATGAACCTGACAGAAATAAAATTTAAATGATGTGAATAAATTATTTGAAGTAAATAACACATATAACCAGATCTTAAGTATAATCCTAAGATCTACATTCAATATGTTTTTCAGAAAATATACTCAAAAATAGAGTAGAGACTCTGGAATCCATAGCTCCGTCCATCTGCCATGAAATCTTGCCAGTCATAGTGGTGAATGGTACTAGAACTTTGTGGTGGGTGCGTGTGGTGTACACACATATTGAGTTAGGAAGCTGTAACTGTGAAACGTATATAGTATTGTACACCAATGAAAAGTAAAAAAAAAAAAAGAAGTATTGCAAGCCATTGTGCTAGGCCTTAGCAATACATAATACTCCACACTCCTAACAGGAGAAATATAGTTCAATCATACATATAATGGAAATAGCTAAGTTTTATAAAAGCTACGTTGGTATTTAATGCCCATTTATTAACACAATAGCCAGTAGGGTCACAGTCAGTTTTGGAGAAATTTTCTTTTTGACCGTTTAAATGCAGAGATAAGCATCTCTATTCTTATGTAGAAGGAACAAATAATGAAAAAATAATAGGCATTCAAATATTATTTGTATTTTTGCCATGACCAATATAAATGTCTGAAATGATAATTATTTTTTTAAAAAAGCAACATAATTCAATTTAGAAACATTTATTAAGTTTCTACTACACATAAGGACCTAGAAGGGATTCTTTGGGGGACATAAGGCAAGATCCATGCCCTTGAAAAATTCACAATCAAGTGAGGACATTAATTATTATTATAGATTGCCCAGTCTATGTGCCAGGCATCCCTTTTGATGACTCCTTGTTAGCTTTTGCTATGCTTATATCAATAGTATGATGGCTAAAGTGTCTCAGTATTAACCTGACATTATCAGTCCAAATACTGCAGGAAAGGAATAAAATGCTAGAAGGGCAGGGTGAGGAGGAAGTGGGAGAAAAAGGAACATTAGTTGACACCTACGCTACACTGCAAACTTAGCTAATAAATCTGTAAAAAACACTTGAAGTAGGTTTTACTGCCTTTCTCCTCTTTTTAGCAGATGACAACGTTAAGGCTCAGAAATATTAAAATACTTTCCTAAATCCAAACAGAAAGTGGAAGAGCTGGGATTTTTAGATTGGTTTAACACCAAAAGCCAAGCTTTTTCTGCTGCACTACACTTACTACCTTCCAAAAATATGTGTGTGTGGGGGGGGGGAAGGGGGTGTTTTCAGAAGCAAGCAAGAACATACTTAGAAAGCAGTGAGTTTTCTGGCCCAGGAGGTATTTACAAGAAGCTGAATAACCATCGGCAGAGATATAGAGGGAATTAAAGAATTGAGTTGGGGGTGTGAGGATAGAATGATACCAAAACTCCCTTTAACATTTGGATTCAACCTTTGTGAAAACATAAGTAGATTTTGCATGTATTTCCTTCTTTAAGGGATCCTGTACCACATACACTCTGTCACGAATGGAGAGACATCTGTGTAGATAAAGGGGACACCACGTACCTCCCACCATCTCTCTATGTAGCATGTCAGGAGTCTGTCCTGCTGAAACTTTCACTTGCGTCATGTGTATATTTTCCATTTGCATGTTCCATGGAAGGAAGCTCCTGAAAATCTCCTTCTAATTTTGAAGAGGTCCTTTCCAAGGGGGAAAAGAGACAATCAGACCTTTTTATCATTTCATATCCTGTATGGATGGCATGTTTCTGTCCCCCTTCCATCCCAAATTTATGTGTTGAAGCCTTCAAAGCCCATGTAATGGTATTTGGAGGTAAGATCTTTAGGAAGCAACTGGATTTAGCGGAGATTGTGGGAGTGGGAACCCCACAATGGAATGAGTACCCTTAAAAGAAAAGAGATGAGGGCACCTTCCCCGTGGCGTGAGCACACAGCAAGAAGGTGGGCAAGTCAGGAAGTGGATCCTCACCAGGAACTGAATCTGCCAGCACATTTTTCTTGGACTTCTCAGCTTAGCTGTAAAAATGGTGAGAAATAAATGTCTGTTATTTGAGCCACCAAATATTTCGTATTTTGTAAATGCAACCCAGCTGCCTGAAAGAGACCCCTCCTGGTTATTGTTATAACCCATTTTTTATATTTGGGCTGGTGGTTCTATTTGGGGAAAACCTATTTGGGGCAAGAGGTTGTGATGAGAACCTTTGCGTTTTACAGATTGGAAAGAAGTGTGAGTCCTTGGGAATAGAAAGGCAGAGAGTGAAGATGGCAAGAGCAGTGAGAATCTCTGTCCCTGCACGTCTGGGCACCGGCTTCTTGGAACAGGGCGTGTCCCTGGCAGAAATCACTAAGAGCTGGGATTTCACCTGGGAACCTGAGCTGCAGCCCCACTGGCTGAGCTGCACTCTGCTGGGGTCAGGATTCCAGCTCCAAGTTCTCAGAACCCCGGGCAGCATTGTCACCAAGTGACAGCGAGAAATAATGGCTGGCAGGCTGGCTCATGGAGCTTAGCTAGGACTGGGAATTAGATGTCCCCACTGCTTCTTCGGTCTGTGTAAATTTCTTGTGTTTTTGCTTTTTGTTTGTTTTGAGTTAGTTTATACAAAATTATTCATAAGAAGGAGGAGACCCAGAAGGCAGGGCCAGAGCAGAGTAAATATGAGTAAAACACAGTTGTTGAGATTTGCAGCAGGAAATGGAGGAGCAGTTGGTTCGGGGAGCAGCCGGGGCCTCCTCTCTCCAGAGTGGAGGAGACAGGCCGAGGCCGAGAGGACCAGCCTCTTCTGGCCATGTCCCAATTCTTTAGTGATTGTCAGCCAGAGTCTGCAGAAAACTCAGTAGCTTTATTTCACTTGATTTCAGAACTTTCAGATTTGGCAACTCAAGAACAGGAAAAATTCTAGATGGCAGTCTCATTTAAATTCAGAAGGGTAGTTATACTTGGAGAAACAGTGCGCAGGTGTTTGGAGATTTGTGTATTTGGCATTTACAAACAGGGACAGCAATGACAACAACAGGGAAATACAGATCTGAAGGTTTAATATTTGGTGTTTTGTAGTTATGAAGATTTACAAATAGAGGAAAACAAACAACAAAACCCTGTTGTGCAGGAAATGATGGAGGGGTGGGTCTTGGTGAGCAACCAGGGAATTTCTTCCAGAGTTTTAGTCAGAGGAATCAGAGAGGGCAGGAATAAAGAGAAGTGAATAAAGCCGCTGGCTGCAGATACCCTGGCTCTGTGTCCTATGGCCCCATTTATGGAGGAACAAAGAATGAATGCAGTCATAGAGCCCTCCTAAGTTCATTGTACCATTGTAAGTTCATTGTTCATTGTAAGTTCATTGTACCATCTCCAAGAATAGTCACATTCTGAGGCACTGGGGGCTAGGGCTCCAAGAGGTTCAACTTTAGGGGACACAGTTCAGACCATAACACAAACTCCATCATTTCCCTTTGCCATGTACCCTAACATTCACAGGCCTCGGGGATTAGGTCATAGACAAGTGGTCTTTGAGGGACCATTGTTCTTCCTAGTCTGGGACGACGTCTCGGGAAGAGTCTTCCAGGTAAGGGCCCAGGAAGTGCAAAGGCCCTGTGGTGGATCAGGCTGGAGCTGGGTGGTCAAGAGAAGTATACAATGAGATGAGGTCACAGTGAAGACCTGGAGTCCTTGTATATGGGCCCCATGCCTGCCAGGAAGACTCAGCTATTACTCATTGAAGTTTGGAGTGGAGGAGCTATGTGACCTGACTCAGTTTTATGGCATCTTTTCAACTGCTGAGCTGAGACTAGAATGGAGGGGCTTAGGGGGCATTAGCAGGGGGTCCAGCTAGGTGGTAACTGCAGTGATCCAGGAGGCAGATAATGATGGTTTGGGCCCCGAGGTAGCAAGAGAACCCATAAGACATGCCTGGAATCTGCATGTTCACCGAAGTAAAGCCACTAGGATATTTTCTGGGTTGGCGTGAGTGAAAGAGAGGTGTTGAAGATGACTAAAGGGTATTTATTTATTTATTTATTTATTTATTTATTTATTTTTGCCTCTGTAGCTGGAAGAATAGAATTAATATTTATTGAGGTAGGGAGATTGTGGGGAGAGAAGTTCCACTTGGGAGTGTGTGAGATGCCTAATTAAACATACAAGTTCAAATGTGAGAGGCTAGATTTTTTTTTATGCTTTAAAGTCAACTTTCAAATCTTTTTATTTATCCATCTAATGATTCTTGCAAAAAAAAAAAATAAGTACTTTCATTTGTTCACTGATTTTCAATTAACTCACAGGCACAGATTAAAATTCTCCCATTTACAAACTTGGTTAATTATATTCCCTAAACATCTTCAACCACATTTATAAATTTAATATGTTTACTTTCTAAATACTTCAAATGCCTGGCAGGGTATACTTACAATATTAATAAGTAAAAGCCTCTTAAGCATTTAAATTGCTCTTGTATCCAATAAACATATAATTATAGTAAATCAAGTTCCTTTAAACATGCTACAACTATTTATAAACTTAAAATTCTCTTACACTTTTCAACTAAAAATCAAAATTAAAAGTGTCAGTTTCTCTTAAACATGACAGGTACTTTGTTTTGCTTTTAGTGGTTGGGGAGAAGGTCTTGCTTTTCATGCTTAACTTGCCAGGATATTGTGAAGACAACATGAGCTCTGGTTCTTGGACGATATAAACAACCTACGAGGAGTCAAGGTGCCATCTTCATTCCAGGAGGAAGCTAACCTCTGCCAAGGTCACACTAGAATTGTGTCTGTAAAGGTGGGGAAGGGTTTTCTTTTCACAAATAAAATCTGACACTTTTAAAAAAGAGTGGATAAATTTTAAGTGAAGTGTAAATGGCCAATAGAGATTCCTGTACCTTCTCCAGAGATACAATATTGCCAGAGCAGCAAAGGGCCTCTTGTAATGGTGAAATCCAGGGTTTTGGGGACGAGTAGGGTAAGGGTCATGGGCTTTCTCGGCACAGAGGCTCACACCTGCTGCTACCCTTGGTGTTTGCTGGAAAACTGAATGAAGTGACAGCAAAGAGGCAACCACCCACCCTAGCAAGCCTGCATCAGCTTCTGTCCTGCGGCCCACACGTAAGGGAGGGAGCTGGTGAGGTAGAGTAGCAACAGCAGCAGTTAGTACTGCATGTGTCTAGAGAGAGGCAGTAGGGATGCTTGGCAGAATCCCAGACACTTCCCCAGGGGAACAAACAGGGGTGTCACCCAGGATTCTAGTAGGGGCTCTTCCTTCACCCTTGTTTCCCAGGAGCGGGGGGTCGCCCTCCCCTCAGCAGGTTGGGCTGAGTTGGTTCATTTCCAAGTGTCCATGGAATCTGCTGTCCGTGGTTTCTGCTGGTCCAGCTCCAACTGGGGAGGGGAAGGGGTTCAGATATACGAAAGACCTCAACGCCCCAGGCCCTGAAGGCTGAGGTAGCCTGCGCCCTGGGCTCCTTCTGTGGCAGGTTAATGACTGGGGTCGAGGTGCAGTGGACTCAGGCCTGGCTACTGGGGCATGGCCTGGCTGCCCAGCCAGCACCCTGATGCGACAGAATGGCCAGTGTCTCATGGATTTGGTGATGACACTCCCTTGCCAAAGCTGGGATTCCCTGTCTGAGGGTGACCGGTTTTTGATTTCAGCTCTGGTGCTGGCCTGCTGACAGGGGTGAGGAGTTCTTACCTCTTCCCTTTCCTCTCCTTCCCTCCCCTTTGCTCTCTAGGAGAAAGAGCAGCCCAGTGCCGCTGCGGTTGGAATGTATCTGCAGACTTAGGGAAGCCCTATGACTGTTCTCTTGCCCTGCCTCATCTATCTACATTGCAGGGAAAGCAGTAAACCACCAGTTACAAATAAGGAAGCCGAGAGTCCCAGTGGTCAAGGAATGAGTTTGGATCATGCAGCAAATTCACTCCCAAGTGAGAAGCTGGAAGTGGAATCTATATCTTCCACGTTGCTGAATTCTTTCCCCTGTACCCCCAGTATCTCTATTAACCAACCCATCCACACATAGCTACAGGCATCTACTAGATGCCAAGAAAGACTTGAGACACTTGGGGACTAAGCAGAGGAACAGAGGAGAGAGGGAGACTAATTCACAGCAGTACAATGACACGCCTAGGAGTGACCTGCACTGTGCAAGAGCAGGGTGGACAGGCGGAGAGAGAAGCAGACACACACATGCAGACAAACAGCAGTCAGGCAGGTAGACGGGGAGAGAGCACGCGCTTGCCCATGAGGGCATCACGGGGGCCTGGGAGGGGGGTTTCATGCATCTCTCAGGCAGGCAGCAAAGAATTGGGGGGCAGGGGACAGGAAAGAAAGGTACATCCAGCCTGGCTGGGGAGACAGATAAGCAAGTGCTACTGTGGAGGGAAGCGCAAGGGGCTGGGGGTCCAGAGAGAAGGCACTGACCCAACGTGGGAGCAGGAGGAAGATAGAGTGGCCATGGCATAATGATGCCAGGGCCCAGGCAGGCCTGGAGCACAGCTCTGCGAGGGCCCCTGGGGAGCAGTGGGCTTTGGGAGTTGGGGGAGAGGAGACGCATGCTGTATGCGGGAGTATGTGACTTGGTCTGAAAGAAGGTATTTTCCTAACCCTTTCTGCGCTTCTCTGTCTCCTTGGCATTCTTTAAAAAATGCAGATTCTTTCTTTTTACTACCAAGATTCTGATTTTCAGCCGGTCAGGAGGAGTGTGATGGGCTCGGCATGTGTGTATTTTAAACACGTCTCAGGTTCTCTATTTCACCCATGGCCATTTAGGAACCATTGGTTTAAATAAAATCTAATGATTGTCATTCTTTCATAGTCATTGACTTTTCTTCCATTTGGGCATTTATAAGAAGTTTTGTGGCGAGATTTGTTCCTGCTGGCTGGGCCTTCTGCTTTTTCACATCAAGAGAAACTATTTTTTTGAAAGGGACAAACCAGAACCAGTACTGTTGTCCCTCAGAGGCCCGAGATGAGGAAAACTGAGCCCATCAGTCTGTGAACCACTGGAGGTGAATCCTGGGGGGAACACTTTGTAATTTCAGATACTAAAAATGAATGGTGTTATGGAGTAACTGTTAACATACGCTGCAAGATGTTTATGATTCCCTGGGGCCAAATAAGTAAACATTCTTCCAACTTAAGCTGCAGGAGACAGGCAATTTCACAAAGAGATGCTTTCTCCCTTTATGTGAGATGACTGTGCAGAAGAGGAAACGCGGGGTACAGGGTGAAACTTCCTGTAATCCCTGTGCAAGGGCACTGTGTGGGCGTGTCAGAGGCCAGAACTGAAGGGTTGTGACCGGGGTCCCTGCTGGGCCATCACTTAGCCCCTCTTTTGAGACAGAGCAAGGTCAATGTCAAGGTCTCTTA